GCTCTTAAGCTTCTTCAGCTTACCCCCCACATCCATGCCCGAAGGCGGAAGAAACACTCGGGAGACCTCGCTGGCCCTTTCAGCACAGCTCTTATCTAGAATCATCAGCTGGGCTGCCATGTCTTCTGACTGAACTTTTCATCGTACAAGCTTCGAAGCTGCAACGACAAAGCCCCGAGCTTGAACAGTTGAGCAAACCCCGAAACACAGCCTAAGCCCAAAGCCCCACATCCCAAACTGGACTTCAGAGCCCAAAGCCCCCCTGCCATCGTCGCCCAAGGCACCGCAGAGGCAGAGCCAGGCTGAGTCCATGGCTCCACCGAGGCTGTAATCATCGGACTTGAGTGACGCAACCTCTGCCGGAGGCTTTGGAGTTGATGTTCGGATTTGGGCTTCGGGCTTCGGGTTGTTTAAAGCGGGTCTGGGCCTTCAGATGCCTTTTGGGCTTCTGGCTTCAGAGACTGCTGATTGAGGTCCGCAGCTCCATAGCTCAGGGCCCAAGCCGGACGAAAGGTTGCGAAGCAGTTAGAAAAAACCCAGGCTCGCCGCCTAGAAGGCAGTGCCTATCCTTAAGCCGGAACAGCCTCTCAACTAGGTTCTGCCTTGTCGCAACGGTAGAAACAAGATGCCTTCCATTACTTGGAGAACGTGAAGATCTGATCTACCTGGTCTGAAGAACATATTTTTGAACCCCTGTCTGCCCAACCCAAGGAGCCCCTGGAACCTATCAAAGGCTATACGTCCTGTAGAAGTGGAACAGAAGCCCAAGGAGCTTCGAAACCCAGATCTTCAGCTAGGATTCTAGCAACAAAAATTGCTTTGGGCCAATTTGGGCTCCGAGCAATCTCATGCTGATCAGGCAGCCATCGTATCGTAGTCCGTCTGACTGACGTAGGTCTGTAGACGTCGCGATCTCAGCTGGAGCTTCGTGCAAGACGCGGCGTACTACTTAATTCTTGGATTCGTTTAGCGGACTTAGACTTAGAACTTCGATCCCGAAATCAGACCATCGTGGCTTCCTGGTTTTCAAACAGATCCCGAAATCGGTCCCTCTGCGATGTTTGTCCACTACCGTACAATCGTTTCATCCTAAATAAGGCGGAATCACAGGCTCAATGCCTTACACCATCTCCCCAACCGACGATAGGCCTTGGCCTGCCGACCTTGAGCCATGGCAAAAAACGAAGCCGTTAAAACAACCCTAAACCCTGGACCCCAAACCCCTAAACCTAAGCCCTAAACCCTTAAAATGGACTCTAAACCCTAAACCCTGTAAACTGTAAACCCTAAACCCTAGACTCTAAACTCGAAAGAAAAACAGCGCGCTTTACGGCCGCTGAGAAGCTGCGCATAGTCGTCCAACTTGGAGGCCTGGTCGCTGATCAACTCCTTCTGGGCCTGCACCTGCAGGCAGCACTATGAGTTTAGGGTTTAGGGTCACTATGGGTAACTCGGGAATTTCTGGGAACTTGTTTAGGGTAAACCGCTGTAAACCCCAATGATTCGGAATGTTGGCAAAAAGTGAGCACGGCGGCCCACTTGTATTCGAGGAAGGCGACTCCATGAAAAGCTTTGAACGAAAGCTACGGGTCGATATCTGGAGTAAGGGCTTTAAACCACAGAGATTCTGGTTCACTGTGTTTTTTTCAAACTTCCACGTTTGGTCACTGAACGAAAACCGAGGTCATAGAGTTTTTCGATCTGTTTGGTTTTGCAATTTGTGCTTTGGGGAATAGGGCCTATGCAGCAGTTTGACTGGACTCAAAGTCCTCCAAGTCCTCTTCCTTCCACCATCTGTGACGTAGTTCATGGAAACACACCCAGACAGCCATGCCAGCCATTTGTCTTATCGATCTGTGGTGCAACAATGCTATTGGTGGCTTCGTGGCACGCCTCTTTCATATTCAGGACTTCTTACTTCTTCGAATGTATACCTGGCTACCTGACTTCACAAGAGCTACAGCAACAAGTTCCTAACATCTTGGTATTTCGCACGCGAACTCATGGCCTGACATGTATTGTTACGGGCATGCTGTCCGGAGATCACATGCTGCCAACTTGTCGACGTCTGCGTGGGGGCAAACGCATACTTAAACAGGATGTGTTGAAGGTATCTTCAAACAAGAGACCAGCCCTGCACATGTGGTGACACTTATGCTTTCGGACACACTCATGTGTGCAGAGGAGTATACAAGTAGATGGATACGTAGCTAGATAGGTAGGTAGATTGGTAGATAGATGGACAGACAGACCGACCGACAGACAGACAAACACGTAGATAGACACGTGGATAAATGGTGTATCGATGGATCAATCCAGGCGTGGCTGGGCATGTGGGTGGATGGATGGATGATGGATGGAGGGAGGGAGGGAGGGAGGGAGGGACGAACGGATGTGTGGATAGATGGATATATTGATGGACTTGAAGATCAATCGAGAGATGATATGTACATGGACATGCTGCTATCACAGATGCGCACGCACGCATCAAAACAGTCCAGAATGCATGCGTACAAGTCACCACCGTGTCGGATATATACTCACATGAATGCATACGTGCATACAGACGCCCACCCGGGCCCACCTACCCACCCACCCACCCACCCACCCAACCGCTCAACCACCCAACCACCCACCCACCCACCCATGTAACCTAGTACAGTGGTACATATGAAAGCGCATGTGTTTTGGAGTGTATATATGCTTCATCATTTTGTTCTGAAGTGGCCAAGCCAAGAAATCAAGCACGCAAGCCTACTTCGATTTGCACACGTGTTCATACCATTCGAGGAGATTTCGATCGGGAAATCTAAGGCATCGCCTTGTGTGCCTGTGTGTATGCATATGTATAGTGTGCATATTCTATAATAGTATACACGTGCGTACGTGCACAAAAACCTTGTAGACGGAACAGCTTTGTGCAAGCCCGAAGAGATATGATTAGCCCAGTCACGCTGAATCAACAGAAACGACGCTTGCAGGTTGCATCTACTTTCTAGCCAACTCGGGTTAGCTGAGTCGTACTTAAGATCTCACAATCCAGCTTCTCGTCAGCGGCGCCTCCGCACGCAGGGCTTCCTTGGATACTGCGGCACTGACGGCTTAAAGCAAATGCTCAAATCATGTGCACGCAGATGACACAGCTGCTGATCTTGATGCACGTGACGAAAAGGCGAATGTATGCAACCTCACAGGCATGATGCCGACGTCAGTCATCACCGGCATGAATGATCAGCATCCTCCTGCTACTTCTACTTCTACTTCTACTTCTACTTCTACTTCTACTTCTACTTCTACTTCTACTTCTACTTCTACTTCTACTACTACTACTACTACTACTACGACTACTACTACTACTCCGGCTGCTACTACTACTACTACTACTGCTGCTGCTGCTGCTACTACTACTGCTACTACTACCACGACCACTACTACCACTACTATTGCTACTACTACGACGACTGATACTGTTACTACTACCACTGCTACTGCTACGACGACGACGACGACGACGACTACTGCCACTACTACGACGACTGCTACTGTTACTACTACCACTGCTACTGCTACGACGACGACGACGACGACGACGACTACTACTACTACTACTACTACTACCACGACTACGACGACGACGACGACTACTACTACTACTGCTGCTTCTGCTGCTGCTACTACCACTACTACTACGACGACGACGACGACTGCGACTGCGACTGCGACTGCGACTGCGACTGCGACTACTACGACTGCGACTGCTGCGACTGCGGCTACCGCTGCTGCTACCACTACTACGCTACTGCTACCGCTACCGTTACTGCTGCTACTACTGCTGCTACCTGTTTCTACGAGTACGAGTAGGATCACAAGTACAATCATTATCGGGCATGCGGCACATGCCCAATCCCTGCATGCAAAGACGGGCTTGCGGTAAGGTATCCCTAGCGTGTAAGAACCTAGCTTGCCTGCTTAGGGCAAGAAGTGGAGCCTAGGGTGTCGGGTTTCCACGAGAATAAAGACTATGCCTATTACACAAGGTCACACCAATCCGCAACTCTAATTAACCTCCGAGAACGAGCCGCCGCCTCTATATGATTTTTTCCGAGGAAGCGATGGAATGACGAGGCTGCTGCCATTTCGGTCTTGCCTCATCTTGACATGAAGGGGTCCCTCATTGGGATCCTGAAAACAATAAGGATCCTGCGATTTAGGGGTTCCAATAGTCTGAACCTTCGAATGTGCGTGTAGGCAGCCAGAGAAAGAGAGAAAGCGGTCTTCGAAACGGCCTGTCAGAGAGACCGCCCAGACCAACACTGAAGCCGCACCCAAAGATGCCACTGGCGAAGCCTGGCTCTCCCACTTTGCAGGATTAGTTTTGGGGTTTTGTTGAATGTAAGCCCCCGTGTCTCCCACACCCTTCACATCAGGATCCTGGTTTGGGAACCCTAAACTGCCCTAAACACCTATCGAAGTCTTGTATGATCAAGTATTTTACCAGTCCACGGATCCTGGCGTTTGGGACGGAAAGTTTCTGTGCCACGGAAACCAGGATCACCACCCCTGAACCCTAAACCCTAGACCTTGTCTGGCAGAGTCCGAGTTGCGAGGGCGTAAATTTCAAAAGCCGTCAGGCCCTCAACTCCTAGATCCCAAACATCACTAGTTTCTAGACCGTAACCTTGAAAACTGAAATTTGAACAGTTCGTAGGGTCTGGCCGTGGCCCTTAGGCACGACATAAACCCTTAGATAGCGAAAGGTTTAGGGTTTAGGATACATGTTGGTGTGGCTTGCAGTATGTTTGCTGGCACTTCGAGCAACAACAACCTCAGTAGAAGTAGTCAGTCTAAATACAGCGCCTCGTTGTAGCAGCTATCGTTTGAACATGTCGCTGCTCCAACCTACAGCTGGCCTTGTCCTCTAGCAATGTAACAATGTTTGCCATGGCTGATTCGTCGATAACGTGAAGCTGTAGTACGTGAAGCGCGAAACTTTGCACAAGATGCTTCTGCTGTCGCTGTTGCGACCAAGCTGCAGTGCATCGGTGCGACATCAAGTCCGGCTGGAGCTGCTGTTCGTTTGCCTGCCAGTGATTGCTTCGACTGCTTATTGCATCTGTCATTTTCATGACGATAGCCCGGTCCGTTTTCAATATATTGCCTTCTTGCACCTTCTGGGGGCCATGGTCTTGCTGCCTCTCGGCGTGTTGCTGTGGTGGGTCAACTCCTTGCACTTCGCAGCGCATTATTTGGAGGATCCGCACTCGAGCAATGCACTATGCGAGTTGTTCAGCTGGCTGCCCTTGGTTGTGATTTCTCCAATGTTGGTGACTGGCAGCATGCAGGACATTGCCGACACATTTGCGGACTTGTTTGCGAACATGGCACTCTATGTTCCTTTGCTGGAGGAACCTCTCCCACTCATCGCTCGTTATGCTGCCTACTGTCCGGTTGCATTTGCAAGACTGGTGCACCTAAGCGTTGTGGAGGCGGGCTGTTGTCTTGCACTGACACCCTGCTTGAGGCGGCTACTTTTCCTGGCGATTTGTTCAGGAATGGCCGTGCAAATCAGGCTGCGGTATTTGCGCAGGAAATCAACACCACTTACGCAAGATTGTCTTGCAGAGTGCAGCAGCACTACTACTCTGCCTGTGTCAATCTTTCGGCAGCGGCACCACCACAAGCAGAAGTTTCTAGGTGACTATTTGGATTTCCGTTAATTACCTCTTTCAAGTTTCCGGTTGGTCTCAATTTTAGAGGTGTGCTCGATACTCGGAACCCTAGGCCCCAGACTTCTTCGAGACAAAAAAAGAAGACCTATTCGTTTTGTTACTTTCCCTTGTGGCCGCAAGGCGCCCTAAATTGTGAACCTAGCTCACGGATAGAAGCAAGAAATGCCCGCAAGCGACACCGAAACCCTGAACCCCAAGCATGGCTAAGGGAAAAAAGCCCCGAATTCGAACCCTGAAGCAAAAACCTAAAGCTTACTCATTAAATAATTTCATAATTATATATATATATATGCATGTATTTATACATACATATATATTTTTTTATTTATTATTTATGTATATATAACACCTGCCATGCAGTGTCTGCGGACGTTGCCAAGTGGGAGCCAAAAATATAGCTCGCTCTCTCTCAACATATATATATATAAGTGGGCTTTAAACGGGTGAGCTCAAGTAACCCCATGCAGTAAACTGAACCCACGTAGAAAACTAGGTGTTAAGGGATTGTAGGATCTAGTACAGAACTTGTCGATTCAATCAGAGCACCTCTATTTCCTAGTAACTACGACTGCAGCAAGCCACAGCCGTCAACATCATCGCCGAGAAGATCGGAGAGTTGTGCTTCACAGTGTCGGGCGCTTCTGTGCAGGGCTGCAAACCGGGATTTGCGTAGCAGCGATTTCAGCCGCCACCGCCCAAACTTAACTACTGATTTCTCGAACCGTTTCTTATCGCACGCCTGCGCGACGCCTCGGTTGTTCGAAGGCTTGTGCTAAGGCTTACTATGCAAGAACCAAGTTTCGGAATTTCGGAATTCCAAAACGTCTCCTCAGACATTTTGGAATTGTGGAATTTCGTTAGCAATTGAAAAACTTATGCTCAGGGTGTTCCGGCCGTTCGGCATTTGTGACATATAACTGTGTCTAATTCCGGTTCTAAAAGAAACGAGAAGTTCTTCGACATAATGCTTACATAACATATGATGTTAACAAAAGATTTAGTCGACAATTCAGTACTGTAAACATCCTACCTACCTGGCAAGAAACGGTTGGTCATTCATATTCGACCACAAGACTAAAATGCCAAAGCAATATATCTGAGTTGCAAACCAGTGTTTAGTTTAACATTTCAGAAAAATATAACAGGTTTTCTTTGATGGTTCGCACCATCTCTCTTCGCTTTCTTATGATTGTTTCGCAAGTATGTAAACCATATCCGGACACTCGCGGTTGTTATTGAAGCTTTTCAGCGATTCATTGACATCACGTTTTTTGATGATGTAATCAGTAGCGAACCCTCGGCTCGCAGGCATATACTGTTCTTGTCTCTTCGTGAAAGCAAGAAGCGGTGTAATTATGATCCAAGAAAGAATTAGGACATAACTTCTGCATGAGGTTTAACCTTGCATTGCTGCAACGACTAGCTATTCCAGTACAAACTGTGTATTATATGTTTATGATATGTTCTCGTTTGTTCATTGGGCAGACTTAAATATGAGGCGAAACTATGCGAAATACTCAACGAACACTGACCCGATAATAACTACGTTTGAATACTAGAAGCAACAAAACATGTATGGTAGCTGCTCATTGGAAATAGACAGCAGATGCTGGTAACACATGCATACATTTGTGCACCAGTACTCGTTGAGCACCATCTAATATGTGGCCAAACACAGTGAAATATTCAACGAAGACCAATCCAAAACAAAGTGGGCATTAAATCTAACAGAAGCAATACCACGCGCATCACAATTACCATTCGAACATTAGATGCTACAGGTAGCTATTACATACGTATGTCACATTTTTAGTTATGTGTTATGACGCGTATAAACTGTAGATAATAATAACCGCAACAGAACCTATCTGTATTCACAAGGGTTTCAGTTTCCATCCGCAACAACACAGGGACACATGACGGGGGGGACCATACATAAATATAAATATATATATATATGTGTGTGTGTCTATATATATATATAGACATACTTGTACTATATGTGCTTTTTCAGATCGAGGGATTGTTTTGTATTTGTTGCGTTTTGGACGGGCGGCTTCAATCTGTAACCCTACTGCCTAAGCCTGGGGCTCTCTTGATAGACACCACTTGCGGCCCGTAAACCACCGTTATAGACCTTGCATCTTCGAACCCCCAGCAATACAAAAGAAGGTACCCACATGAAGTTGCTTCAGCGTACGTAAGCTCTAATCAGCAAACACTGGAGTCACAGTGCTTAACAGTCAAACACTCCCCCAAATGTTGGTTTGCATTACTATCGTCCTAAACCCAAGTGCCTGATGGCTGGGTCCTTGGCACCCCCAGAGTAGTACATGGAATCGTCGGCCAGGTTGCGGAAACACAAGAAATATTCAAGTTAGAGGACAAAAGGAAGCATGAATATGAAAAAAATAGGAATGGAGAGTCGGTACGCAAGAATATGAAAAACATAGGACAAAACATAGGAAGACACAACGAAGGCATGAGCAGCACAGTCCATGCAATGATCACGAAAGCAACAATACAACGACAACTTGCCATTCAATGCTTCGAACTACCATGGAAATCACAAAATATGCACATTCGCAACACGTGTTTGACTACGTGTTCAATGCAAGCACAGCCAGCTCACAACCAAAACAGACTAGGTTGGAATCTTTCAACAGAAATATGCACCACTGTCTGCTGAAAACACATTGGCACAACGGAACGTGCAGAAAACAACCCTCCAGAGGGGGGGAGGCTATGAAAAACAGAAGACAACTAGGAATTTCCATCCGCCGCCGCCTCGGCACCCCTCACCCCCCCTTCACACCCCGCCACTTCGAGCGCTTCCCTTCAGGGGGGACGCGGCGGTCCTTGCGCGTGGGTCGGGCAGGGGCGGGGCGGGGCGGTAGGCGTGGGACCCGGGAGTGTGATGCGTTGGTCAACGACGCTGAGCTGCATGTGGAGGCATCATTATGCTGAGTGTGTCGACGCGTGTGACGACACAGATTGCATGACTGACATGCAAGCCAATGTAGGCGGCGTTTCCAAACATACTTGCATCCTATTGCGAAATCCGATCCCTCCGAAAACCATTTTCTAATTCTATTTAAGCCTGATTTACATCAGATTCCGAAATCTACCCTACGAAAAGCCGGACTACACCCTACACCCTGTTCATAGAACCCCCTAGACTTCGAATCCCTTAACCCCTATAAGCCCAAACCCCTTATGAACCCTAAACCGCGATCTCCCAACCACGATCCTTCAAAGAGCCATGAGAGTCGTTGCCAGTGCTGCTTCCGATGTAGACATGGCTGAAGCAAAGCCACAGTGAGGAGTTCAAAAGCTCGAAATTAATGCCCTTAAACCCTCAAATGCCCTAATGTAGGGGCCTAAAAAATTGCCTATGCTATTTTGGGGGCTCCTTAATTATATTTATGTGTATAATATCCCCCAAATCCGTATTCTGATTGTTTAAGGCTCCTATATTAGAGCCCAGGTTTGCGTCGCCTTGGAGCGATCGGTTGGAAGGCTTGGCCGGTCGCAGGTGCCACCAGGTCGCCGGTCCGTGGATTTGGTTTTAGGGGTTTAGGGCTTTTGGGGCTTTTGGGGTTGAGAGTTCAGGGTTTGATTTGGCTTTAGCGGTTTAGGGTATAGCGTTTGATTTAGTTTTAGGGGTTAAAAGTTTAGGGTTTGATTTGGTTTTAGGGCTCAGTTCGTTGTTTCATGTGTTGTTGCGTTATTGGGCTTACGGTTTGGGCTTTAGTTCTTTGAGGCTCAATCTTTGGTGCTCTTTGGGTTTAGGCTTGTTTATTCCCCACCCTCGGTGTGGGGTTGTTAGATTTTAAAGTCAGCTATTACTCCCGCCCGCTCCTCGTCTGCGCCTCGCCCGCTGAGACTATCTCCAGAGACTGCCTGGAGTGCCCCACACACTACGTACCGTGAGACTCGCTGGAGTGCCCAACCTCAGAGACTACGGTGAGACTTTCCGGAGTGCCCAATTTTAGAAACTACCGTGAGACTCCCTGGAGCGCCCAACCCCAAAGACTGCCGCGAGAATCCCCTGCCGCGAGAACCTTACGGACTACCGTGAGACTCGCTGGAGTGCCCAATTTTGGAGACTGTGAGACTGCGTGGAGTGCCCCCCAACCCCAAAGACTACCGTGAGACTCCCCTACCGTGCGGCTCCCTCAACTGCCCTGCCCAACCCTACAGACTGCCGTGAGACTCCATGGAGTGCCCAACCGCTGAGACTCCCCGGAGTGCTCAATTTTAGAGACGACTGTGAGACTGCGTGGAGTGCCCCCCAACCCAAAAAACCGTGAGACTCCCTGGAGTGCCCAACCCTAGAGCCTACCGTGAGACTCGTGAGACTCGCTGGAGCTGTGAGACTCCATGGAGTGCGCAACCCCAGAGACTACCGTGAGACCCTCTCCATTGCCCAACGCGGGGATTTCAGGATCTTAGTGCCAGTCGGTGGTGTGCCCCCTTGGATCGTCGACTGACCGTGTACAGACAGCTTTTTGGAGCCCCCGGGATCTGTATCGTACACTCAAAAATCAACACTATCTATTTTACAGTTTACTACACAATAGTTTGTATAGGCCTCGAAAATGCATTGTCTGTAGGGTGGGGGGATGTTCGAAGCAAAATAATTCATATGCTGCCCTCCACTAACAGTTAAACAAATGTTCCTGAAACGAGCACCAGGATTTGAAGGCCCAATGGATAAAACCTATAGCAACTTGATCACAGTTTCAGAAAAATTGACCCTGGGTCTGGCGTCGGGGCTTAGGCTTGGTCAGGGCTGATTTGGCTCCTGGAATGGGGTCTCAGGGTTTAGGGTTCGTTTCGGGCCAGGGTTTAGAGTTGATGGCAAACCTGTCTTGGTGTCCGGATGTGGGGCTCAAGCTTTAAGGTACAAAGTTTTCGGGCCTGGAGTTTAAGGCCTGGCGCGGCCGTTGCTGTCCTACCGATTTCCATGTGCATGCCAGCATTCATTGACATGTAAACTTAGGACGGCCCATTTTTCAGCCTTGAGTTTGCAGGAAGCTGCCGACTTTTTGCTTGAGGTACTCGAAGATGCCAGCGCAAACAGAATTGAAACAAATACTCCGCCAAGGCGGGATTGACTTTAATGTTTCCGTCAGGGGCCGAAATTCGCAATGTGGACGGTATGGCTTCTTGCATCTGTTTCCATATGTTGTCGACCGTGCAGGTCAGCCGCAACTGCAGGATCGGCAACATGAAAGCGGTCGAACATGTCGTTATCCCCCCCCCCCCCACCTCCCCCCCGACCCCTCACACGCATCCAAGAAGAGACTCTTCGAAATCCCACAGACCCGAAACTTAAGCTCTCAACCCTCAATTATTAAAGTCCATGGAAAACGCAAACCTCAGCATCAGAAGCCTACTTCCCAGCCCAATAAAAGGCCCATTCCCTAATCCCGATTTGTCAACCCGAACTTGGTACCCGCTTAAAGTTTGGGGTCTAATTACGGTTCACTCGACACCCCAGACATCAGCAGGGGCAACTAAACCCTGTACCAATCCTAAACCCGGCAGCCCAACAAAAGTAAGTAACCATAACTTTTCTTAAAGCGCACCCACCGGCAAAAAAAACAAACACACGCACACACTGATCTGAACTTATCGAAAACAAGGAAGGCACAGAAGCCCCCACGTGTGCCAAAACGAGAAGCACTGATTTATATATACGGTACAAGAACTGCGTAAACATGTTTGCTATCATCCCGCACCGCCCCAGCACCCTCCCTCCCTTCGCAACGAAGAAGCTCACTCAGTTAGTATCATTTTGGTAGTGGTCATCATTTTCTTCGTCATCATCGCCATCACCAATATGGTTGTGCGCTATGTGCAAAGAAGCAAAAAAAGCTGTACACACCAGTGATCAGTGCTTTGGGCATGCAGAAATGTCAAACATCTTTTTTGCGTTGTGTTGCATAATAGAATGATGCTGTACATACCAGTGGTTGGGGCATGCTCGCACAGGGCATGAATGCTCGTGAAAGTGCAGCAACCCGAACATGAAAGACACCTTGGAAAGCAACACAGCACCCCATGCACCTGCCGCCTACTATAACATGTACAATGTGCCTCAGGGCCTTTACTTTAGAGGCTTTAGGGTCTGGGGGCTTGGGAAATTGGTTTCAGCTTTTGGTATTGGTAGAGATTTTCATACCCAACAGCATGAATGTGCTTTCAATAACTACGCAAAATATATTATTATGCAGAGGGAGCAAAAAAGAACTCAACTTTGTGGCCTAGAGATGTGACCTCGCATAAGAAGACACCGAAAATCCCTTTCTTTTAAGACCAGGTCTTTCTACGCAGGCAGCTCTACAAAGCGGAGCTCGAAGGGCGACTTTTCTGGGCAATCCATATGCATAGGCATGCCACGCTAGATGCTGAGGCGGGAGTTTCGCAAATTTCTGTGTAAGGGACCTCAACAGAGACACGGGCTGCAAGGATCCTGAATAGAAAGACCCCTTCAAAAAGGAGCCCTAATGTGGAGAAGCCACAAAGGTGTTGGATTATGTGCTCTCCTTCCTGGAGGAGTTTGAAAGACCAGTCACCGACTACATCGGCCTCTTACAGGATGACACCAGGTCGATGATCTCAAGCACGATGAATGCAGCCTCGAGCTCTGCACGTGCGCTTTCATCGCTCTCTTCGGTGACTTTCCTGCATAGAGCACTGTCTAACAGATGGTGGGTCGACTCCAATCCGCCTCCGACGGCTTCCAACAGTACTGCGGACGTACACCCGCTTTGGCGGGCATTCAAAGAAGTTGCCACACGGATGGGACTCGGTGGTCTCTACCTGTCTCGTTCCGCACGAGACTGATTGAAACGTATGAAGAGTTGGCTGTCAAGCTACATAGCTCCACGAATTTGGCCGCACCTGAGGCTCAAAATCCCACGGACGTGTGCTTCCAGTGCATAGGTTTACAGAGCTAGGGTTGCTTGGTTCAAGGTCCTAGTGTCTTTAAGTTCAGAGGGCGAGGGCTCCGATACGAAAGTGTCAGGCTGTTACTCTGCTTTCAAGCGACCTTGAAGACTAATGACTATGACTCTCGTTGGAGCCTGTTCAACTAATTATCTGCCAATCACTCAGCAGCTCCGAACTATGCTAAATTCGTGTTGTTAAGCCTTCTCAGAGGGAATTTTACAGCCCCGAACATGAAGCCTGCCTCCATGCGAGTTCTCAGTAGCTGAATGAGTACACTTTTAGACGTTTGGTGTAATCTAATCCACTGTGAAACTGAGAGTTCGAAAGTTTGGGGCTTATGAAATCGACAACTAAGAGTTCGTAGCTCAAGCCACCAACATCCGAAAGCTCACAAGCTTCATGAGGCAAAGCTCTATACAACTTAATTCGTGAGCACCTCTTCACTCCTAAGCCCAAGCGTGTTTAAAGCAAAAACACCCCAAAACCCTACACCTTGAAGCCCCCAACCCTGAAACCCAGAACCCCGGGCAAACGGGAGTAGGGTTTGTTGTTACAGTCGAAAACCCTGTGAAAGCCCTTATAAGTTATAAGCCCTGTGAAGCGCTCGGGGCCTTGGGTTTGTTTGCTTAAGTCCAGAAGTGAAGCAACCACGTTAGAGTTGAGGGTTTAGGGCAAGGAGTCCAGAGTGACCTTTGGATGCCGCCTGCATCTCGAGTCGGTTGCTTTATGTCATTTGGAGACGTATGACCAACGGAGCTGTCCCAAGTGTAGCTGAGAATCCAGAAGCAATAATCAACGGGTCGTTTACCGGGTCCGACATTTCGGGGCGCTGCGACCGTAAAGCCGGAACCCAGAACCCTCACCGGTCGCAAGTCGAACTCTACAGCCAAGGCTATGAACGGGTTTGAGATGTCTTATGCTGTGTGCATGTGATGGCAATTTTGCTCGGGGATTGATGCAATCAAGTAGGGGGGGCTTCTCCTCTCTGTCGAAGAAGTGCCGCAAGTAGGGCTCATACCAGATAGTGAGATGGGACTGAATAGTTGCCCATCAGTTTTTCCTCAGGGCTCCGATTATAAGTGCATTATACTAGAACTCTGTTCTAATTATAACGACCCCTATTTACAAAAAGTGTACGTCGAGTTTCGCGTCGAGAGTGGCGAGGAGTGCCCAGAAGTGCCCTTAGCAGAAGTCTTTTTCGCAAGCCACAAACCGAAATGGTTTGGGTTCGTAGATGAGCCTTTTGGCCTGCTTGCGGCCGTTTGCTGGTCAGGACTACAAGGGGATCGTGGAGGCCGCGGGAGAATCCAAAGTGGGGATGGGAGTATTTTGGATTGAGGTCCGGCGACTCTGATTACCGTCAGTGTTTTGTAGACTTACAGGCCCCTTGATCCGCGCTGCAACAACTCCTGTGACAATCCAGGCCCTGCTCCTGCATGGAGTGTATCTTGTTTTGGGGCTCTAGAGCTCTGGAGCTCATGCACTTTGATGTTGTCCCCGGCGAATTTGGGGTTCAAGGTTGATCAGGGTTGAGACTCCAGCTTAGGGAGGACGTGGTAACTGTCTGATCCGTTTCGGTTTTGGGAAGATTGAGGTTCT